TTAGGGTTTAGAGGTTAGGGGTTTAGGGTTTAGGGTTTAGGGTTTAGGGTTTAGGGTTTAGGGTTTAGGGTTTAGGGTTCAGGGTTCAGGGTTCAGGGTTCAGGGTTCAGGGTTTAGGGTTCAGGGTTCAGGGTTCAGGGTTCAGGGTTTAGGGTTTAGGGTTTAGGGTTTAGGGGTAACTAGGCCCTGGGATAGCCTAGATGTTCCTTAAGAGGGTGGTGCCGAAACATAGTTTCCGAGGGTTTATAGATGCTTGGCAAAGTTTTAGATCATGGAGATGTAGCCAACCCCAAAAAGAACTAAATTCACGCCACGGGCCTTCAGACTTTCACGATTAGGGCCCGCTTTTGGGGGTTTACGAAAAGAAGGGACCCTGATATAGTCCCCAAATTAGTAGGATCCCTTTTTATAAAAGGTACCCTTAAGTTCGGAAACCCCCATAGCCCCCCCTAGACACCAAACCTGAAATCCTAAACCCCAAACCCTAAACCCCAAACCCCAAACCCTAAACCTTAAACCCTAAACCCTAAACCCTAAACCCTAAACCCTAAACCCTAAAGGCATGGTGTTCATCTTCTGGGACTTAGTCACGATTCCCCTGATCCTGGGTGGTGTCGACGATGACACGCTCGACTTCCTGTACTGGGCAAGCTTTGCGACGCTGGCGTGCCCCGCCTCAAGGCTGTGTAGTACCAGGAGAGGGTTTAGGGTTTAGGGTTTAGGGCCTGTTTAGGGTTTAGGGTTTAGGGTTTAGGGTTTAGGGTTAGAGATGACACAGCTCGAAACTCCAAACCGAAACCGTGCTCAGGCTCGGTCGAAGTCGCAAGGTCACCCCGGGCTTGTAAACACTGAGAACCGATGTCCACCAGTAGTCTGCCAGTAGTGGGTAGAAGTCAGAGACGAGTACACGTTACGACGCCACATGTGGATGATCACAACGCGGCCAGTACACACCCCCCGCCCGTTGTCTCTTTCTCACTGCTATCTGGGTGGGCATCGGAGGGCGGAGCTGTCTAGTTTTACGTTGGGCAACATAGGGTCGTCGTGGTCCACACCGCACGGATGTCTCCGCACGTCGAGGTACTGGATCATCGACCTTGCCGTCAACTTTTTCACGGGCTATGACACGGGCGCAGGAATTGAGATGCCACTCGGTCGCCGTGGGGAAGGGCTCACACATACGTGTGCTCAGGTCTTCAACTGGGCATGGTTTGCGAATTGACTACATTGTGTATGTTTTCGAGCGCATCATGCACCACGACTGTCATCCTCACAATGGCCGCTGGCAGCAGTGTGTTTCTGTATTCCTTGCACAGAGAAGAGCATCAGCGCTGAGAGTTGAATCACCACTCAGGATCTAGATTTTCGCGCTGACTGGCCCCGGCTGACTCCCTAAATTGTAAACCTGGAGAGCTTCGTTCCGTCGAGGGTTGATTCCCGATTTATTGACTAAGTGTGTCTGTTTGGGTTTACTGGACGAAGCCTTTGGTATAAGAGGATCTGGCCCAGGGCCATTGCTAGGAATTCGTGCGTTTGCACATACACGTGGAATGGTTCATGAACGTACACGGCACTATCCCCTAAGCTAGTTGCCCGCCTTCAGCACGTTTGCTCAGCGAACTTCTCGGCGGTTGGTTGCAAGGTGGCTAGCGGCTAGCTGTCTCGGGGCAGATGTCATCCTGGACGTTGGACGTAAACAGTTGGTGAAAATCAATGGCAATTCCAAGGCGACCCTTTCAGATTGCGCTGCACTACCTGAAGTCGTGGTTCTTCCCGGACTTGCTTTTGGTCGCGCTGCGGAAGTAAAGCAATGGCCCAGCATAGGCCTAGCAGGGTAACATGACAAGATAAGCCAATGAAGGCCACACGGAGCTTGCTTCCGAGGAACCCTAAGCCCCAAAAGCACGAAGTCCGTAACTCTGAACGTTCCCCAGATCTGGCCGTTGTTTCCAAAGCCAGTGCTGTTAGAGCCGTAGGGAAGGTAAAGACAAATTGCTCGGCTGCCAGGCTAGGGCCCAAGCTCAACACCGCTTGCACATAATTACAAGCATTCATTCTCTCCTCCTCGTCAGGACTTAAGCCTAAACCCTCTTCCTAAAACCCTGCGAGGATATTGGTTGTAGCCCCTCCTCTGCCCCAGACTTGTGACACGTCAAGTAGCTGAACTGAAGGAGTAAAAGCTAGGAAAGTCTCACGTTTTACGCATGCACGGGTAGCACTTCTATTTGCTTAGGAACCCCCGAAAATGAAAATAGATTCTTCCTTATAAGGGCCATACAAGGATTAGCATTTTTCTTTTTTTTGGGGGGTTCTTAAGCAAAGAGTAGGGCAGTAGTGCTCAACTACTGTAGGTATCACCTCGGGCCCCAAGAAACCTTGAACCCGTTGCGTGTGAAGGGACTAAAGGAGGGACCCTTGTAAGAGACCTTAGGGGTCATTTAGGGGCTACTTAGGGAAATTGGGGCTATGAGGTATGTATAAGGGCTACTAAGGGGCTACTTAGGTATATAGGGGCTGTATAAGGTGTGCCAAACGCCACAGAGTTCTAATATGACTCGCTGCTTTGGATGAGCTGCCACCCCCAGCTCGAACCCTCCGCTCCGAGGCTATGGACAGGAGCCAAGCAGTCATTGGGGTTTAGGGTTTAGGGTTTGGGGTTTAGGGTTTAGGGTTTTGGGTTTTGGGGTTTGGTTTAGTAGTGCTGGGTCAGAGGCTTCGCCGGACGCCTATGAGGGCAAATCGCACTGCAGTCCCTCCTCAAAAAAGCTTGTAGAAGACCCCACAAGAAACGAAGGAACGCGCGCTCACACAGACACACCCAATGTGCCGTAATGTGCCTACCGGTTCTTGGAGGGGGAATGTATCCTCCCTATGTAATCCCTCGAGGCGATTTTTATGGGGATATAAGGTACCTCCTTCCCTCATACCCTAAACCCGAAGAGCCAGGTAGGAATGACAAGCCACGAATTCCTGCCGCTGACAAACATCCTGCCTGCGAAGCCCTGGACCGGTTCACTGAAGCCCCAGGACCCCTTGACCTTGACGTTTCGGGTTTAGGGTTTAGGGCTAGGGTTTAGGCCTAGGGTTTAGGGTTTCGGGTTTAGGGCTGGGGTTTAGGGTTCAGGGTTTTGAAAAGGGAGCTGCCAGCCAAGGTGGTCATCGAGATGCTGATCAAGTTCTTGGAGTGGCTGGCCTACTCGGACTCGGAGGATTCATGGGTTTCCCTACTACCCCCCCTCTAAACAACCCCTTCCCGGGGTTTGGGGTTTAGGTTTTAGGGTAACCCCCCCTCTATACTCACCCCCCTTGGTTCCCAGCCTTAATAAGGGTTAATTATCCCTAAATCGCTTCAATTAAGGGGGGAACCTAGGGGGGGTACTATAGAGGGGGGTAGGAGGGGAATTCATGGAGGATTGGGTCCCATTCTTGGCCCCCATGCCCGGTCCCCTAAGTATGAGGGGAGCGTGCCAAAAGAGCCAAAAGGGACCAGGTTTAGGGTTTAGGGTTTAGGGTTTAGGGTTTAGGGTTAGGAATGTTGAGAGTTGACTAGATAGGCCCCTTCGCCCAAGAGCTAGCTACCGTCGGAGAGGAGCTTGGCTCGGTCCGCATGCTTCGCATCATCCGGGTGATGCGCTTCCTGCGCCTTCTCCGCTTGCAGAAGATTGCGCGGATAGGGGCCGCTTGCCTGGGAATTTTGCCCTAAACCCTAAACCCTAAACCCCTAAACCCTACCTAAACGGAGGTTGTTTCAGGTTCTGTTCTGTCTTCTGGGGGCACGTGCCAATGCTTCGAAGCATTTAGGGCAACAACGTATCCGTAAATACTCTTCCTGCTCCCAGGCCTTCTGAGCTGGCACTGTCTTGGAAGTGAATGCATATGTTCATGGCGTTTCATGATCATGGCCGATCCATTATTTCGTTTCGTAGCTTCTTGCTCTGAAGCTATAACTAAGGCCCAGGGTTCTGAGTTCATGGGCCCAGGGCGTAGCTGTAAGGTATGGGTTGTGCATGGGACCTTGCACTCTCCACGCGCCAAACTTGATTCCCAACAGCACTCTCCATCAGTTGCAATTTGTGGTAGTGATGGTAGCGTCTTTGGGGTGGGGGGGGGGGGGGGGGGCCTGGAGTTCGGAGGTGAAAGCAAGGCAGTCGTATTTTAGAGGCCGAATCAACACCCCACTTCCCAAACCCTAAACCCTAGGCCCAAAAACAGCCACATGTTCCAAGGAGCTCATCGCCAAGCATTTTACCTCGACCCTTGGACTCTGCACAGTCGCCAATCAGATATCCTTGGTAGCCCAGGTGTACCCTGTTCCCTTTTTTGGGCGGGTTTAGGTTTGGGGTTTTCAGGGTTTATGGTTCAAGGTTCTCTTAGAAAGGAACCAGCCGCAAAAAGGGTACCCTTATTCTGATATGGTTACTGGGCTACGAAATCAGATGTCTATTGCTACGGCCCAGGTACTGTTCAGGCATCCCATTTTCCGAGCTCGCGGTTGATTGTGAGATCTCTTGAGTGTGTCATGTTGCAGAAAACCCTAAACCCTAAACCTTAAACCCTGTTCGCCATAGGTGCCCATGGTGTTACTGTTGTGCTTCAGGGGATAGAGGGGGTTTCGGGACTCTAGGGCTCGTTGAGGGGAGTTCCAGGTTGAAGGTGCATGACCCTAAACCCTGAGAAGCCGCACCCCGCCAGTCTGCCATGCTCTTGAGGGTTTGGGGTTTAGGGTTTAGGGTTTAAGGTTTAGGGTGTCTATTGTACTGCATGTGAGCAGCAGGCTTCCCCTGCAACCTTAGTAGCTGAATGACTGCACCTTACACTTCTTGGGATACTGCAAGTCCCCTATAGACCTGAAAAGTCTCCATTTTTTTGGGGGGCTTCTGAACTCAGCAACGGAGCAACTCCCATCTCAACAGAGCCTGCGCGCCATGGGGAACTTGATTGGGGGCAACCGGCACTTCGAGAGCGTGGTCGCAGGGCTTCCGAGTATGGCTGGCAAGGTCATGGCGGTGACAGGCTGCGCCTTAGTTGTAGTTTAGGGTTTAGGGTTAGGGTTTAGGGAGTAGGTAGCCTTTAACCGTTTTGGGGTCATATAGTCCCCTTTTCTTCCCAAAGGTGAACCTTTAGTTCCGCTGGGTACTAGACAGCTAAGGTACTTCCGGCACGGGGAAGATTTTTGCCAGGGTGTCTAGGTCTGGACTGCGGTCGACATTGACATCATGTCGAAGTTTTTTGTTCAAACTTAAGAATTGGCAGCTAAACAGCTCTTCCGTTGGAAGTTTGAAGAACAGACCCAAAAGGCAAGGCCCTTTTTCGCACAGCACAATCCGTTTTTTTTGCCTGATTCCTAGAATGCTCGGTTCATTATGCCCTATGGTTCATAGACCCAAATATGGTTCATATACCGTAATATGGTTCATATACCCTAATATGCTTCATAGACCCGAATAGGGATTCTCGTAGTATAGGGTCCTATGCCCCCCAGGTCTGTGCGCAGAAGGGGGCCAAGCTTGTGCTCCTCAACCGGGACTCGCTGCGAGCGACGGAGGCTTAGGGTTTAGGGTTTAGGGTTTAGGGTTTAGGGTTTAGGGCGACGGAGGCCTTGCGGGAGATCTCGGAAGTCTCGCAAGCCGCAGGCGCCCCCGAGCCATTGGGGATACCATGTGCCTGGGACCCTCTTGCCCTACAGCTGTTTATGGGTTATACCTACTATTTAAGGGTAGTTACCAGTTGTTTATGGGTTATACCTACCAGTTAAGGGTAGTTACTACTAAACTACAGTTTTTTATGGGTTAGACCTACTAATTAAGGGTAGTTACTACTAAACTACAGTTTTTTATGGGTTCTACCTACTAGTTAAGGGTAGTTACTACTAAACTACAGTTATTTATGTGTTATGCCTACTAATTAAGGGTAGTTACTACTAAACTACAGTTTTTTATGGGTTATACCTACTAATTAAGGGCAGTTGCTACTAAACTACAGTGTTTTCATGGGTTATACCTGCTAATTAAGGGTAGTTACTACTAAACTACAGTTTTTTTAAGGGTTATACCTACTAATTAAGGGTAGTTACTACTAAGCTAGAGTTTTTTATGGGTTATACCTACTAATGAAGTGACTACTAAACTGCAGTGTTTTGGGTTATACCTACTAATTAAGGGTAGGTACTACTAAACTGAAGGTATAATAGAGTCCCAGGTGACCTCACCAGCTTCAAGAGCGTGCGGGAGGCGGGCGCGAAGTTGCAGGCTGAGCTTCGCGAAGTTGGGCTTGACGTCCTCTGCAACAATGCGGGAATCTCCTACTGTTTGCTTAAGAACCCTTTTTTTTTTTTTTTGGGGGGGGGGGGGGGAGGTTCTTAAGCAAATAGTAGTCTACGAGGCGCTGTTGAGAGCCTGCTTTGCAAGTGCCGGACATATCGTGTTGTCAGTAAGATGGCGTTCGTGTTGTGGCCGGGATAACATTCCCCTCTCAACTCAGGAATCATGGGCTTTGGCGACAAAGCCACAGAGGACGGCTGCGACATTCAGATGCAGACCAACCACTTATCCCACTTCCTGCTGACATACCTGTGCATGCCCTTGCTGGACAAGGCACGTAGAACCGCGTGACAGAACTGCAGCCCTAAACCACGCCTCAACCTCTGAATGCCTTCCTGCGTGCTATAGTTTTAGAGGGTGTGAGCCACCTCTGTAGACTCATTCTGTGTGTCAAGCCTCGACGAAAAACCCACGTGGAGCAACTCTCGCCCTACAGACCCCAAAAAAAGGCAACCAAACCGCCACAAGGGTGTGACACCATGAGCGTGAAGAGGCAGCTTCCTTGCGGGGCGAGTCACGGGTCGTCAACCACTCCAGCTCCGCGCGCGTAATGGATGGCCCAGAGTTCACCAACAAGTTGCAGGAGACACTGTGCAGTCCAGGGGGGGCGGGAGAAGGGGGAGGGGTAGGGGTTCAGGGTTTCAAGCTGTCTCTAGCGACTCTAGCGGGTTAGATCTTACTAACTTGTAGGGCCGGGAGCCATAGGTATCTGTAAACTCCACTTGCGGTCTGGATGGGTTCACGGCGACCCTGATTTTTTGCATGCTCCCGGATGCATGTTCTCCTGCTTCAAGCCTGAAGATTGGTCTGCCTACCCAGCTGCACGTGTAAGGAAGTACCTGCAGAAGAACGGGGGCAACCTAGGCGGCAACAGCGACAAAATCATGCAAGGCGCGAACTTCGTCCGGTACCAGCAGTCGAAACTCGCGAACGTGGTCTTCACGTACGCTCTCCACAAGCGCTTGCAGGACTGTGGCTCCAAGGTGAAGGCCCTGGTGGCTCACCCAGGCGTTGCCCCAACCCAGCTGTCGGTGGGCACCATGAGTGCAGGGGGCGCATCAGATTTAGAGCGCATACCTGCGTGGGCAACCAAGCTCTTCTTCAAGCTAAAGCAGCTTGGCTCTCCAGGAGTATGCCCTTAAAGAGCCTTCTGTTGACACTCGCTGACACGACGAAGTACTTCCCATGGAAACACCCAAAGCCTCGCGGAGACATACCATAAACAATTGGTATCGTTCGGATCGCAGCAACCCCAGACTGAGGTCCCCGAAACCCTAGCCCTAAACCCTAAACCCTAAACCCTAAACCCTAAACCCTAAACTTCCCTAAACCCTAAACCCAGGTACCAGACAGAGGAAGATGGAACAGTTGGAATCCTCCGAAACTCATGCGACCCTGCCGCAGAGTCTGGCGACTTTTTCGGCCCCCTGGGCGACCGGGCTACCTTCAGCATTCCATAGGTTTAGGGTTTCAGATTTAGGGTTTAGGGTCTTTTTGCCTGTTGCAGCTCCTGTCGGTTCAGGGCTTCGGGTTTCAGTTTAAGTGGCCTCTTCGAAGCCCTAAACCCCCAGGTTAGGGTTTAGGGTTTAGGGTTTAGGGTTTAGGGAAAAGGGAAAAGGGTTTAGGGTTTAGGGTTTAGGGTTTAGGGTTTAGGGTTAAACCCTCAGCCCTTAAGCATTGTTTCAACGACTTCTAGAGTCCCGAGATGTTGCCCGGAGGTGTGGTTAGTCTGCTTGGCAGGTGGCCTAAAGCAAGACCCTAAAAACCGCAAACGGGATTTAGGGTTGAGGGTTTAGGGGCAAAAGCCCTAACTCCCCTAAAAGCCCCAAGCCCTAAACCCTGACCCCTAAACCCTAGTCCTTCGATTGAAGGGGACCCCAAAAGGGTCCGAATTTCTTCGTGACACGTTCAACGTTCAACGGAGCGTGTCCTGTCTTAGTACGGTAACCTCGACTCGACCCTGCGGAGCGGGCGCCTGATGGTGTGTGCAGTGCGGGTGGCGAAACCCTAGTCCTAAACCCTAAACCCTAGCCCTCACAGGCCGAGGGGGCGCCACAGGAGCCTTCGACCCATCGGAGTTCAAGGGCCCGGTGGGGCTGCTCAAGCGGCTCGTTGCGGTTTGAGCCGGGAGGGGAGGGGGGGTTTAGGGTTTTGGGTTTTGGGGTTTTGGGGTTTTAGGGTTTTAGGGTTTTGGCTTTAGGGTTTAGATTTGGGGTGCCAGAATTCGGTTCCGCCGCATACTCAACACCCAAAATAGTAGAATCTGCCTTCAGAGCACCCCCCCCCCAAAGAACGGTTTTAGGGTTATAGGGTTTTACAGGGACCCTAAACCCCAAACCCTAAACCTTACATTGTTTGGTGGTCTCTTTAAGTAGGGCTTCTGATTTTGTAGGGGTTTCTTACTAGGATATCTAGGGGCTATATCAAGGTATAAGGGGAACAGGTAAAGAATGAACCTCAGAACCTAAACCCCAAACCCGAAACCCCAAAGCCCAGGCCCTGGATTTAGGGTTTAAGGTTTAGGGTTTAGGGTTTAGGCCCCGAACCCTCTCTTCCCAAAGGCCGGAGCCCTTGGCTGATCATGAAGCCCAGGAGCTCCTTTGGTCTACCAGCGAGGCACATTGGGCCAAACAGTCTTTTGAGGGTTTTTGTTCAGGGTTTAGGGTTTAGGGTTTGGGGTTTAGGGTTTAGGGTTACGCTAAACCCTAAACCCCTGAATCCCTCAACCCTAAACCAGGCAGTGACCGGCGTTCAGTTCAATGTGGGCGAGCGTGGACAAGGCTGTAACTTGCCTTGCTTGTCGGCGTCCGGCTTAGGGGGGGGGGGGGGGGGGGGGGGGTTATAGGGGATTTGGGGTTTCTAAACCCTTAACCCTAAACCCTAAACCCTAAATCCCAGACCCCCAAACCTGAACCCACAGGGTTGTTGGGCGATTTTGTGCAATTCCTTCACCTCCCGGCAGTTTGTTGCCCAAAAAGCACTGTAAGCCGGTTTAGGGTTTAGGGTTTCGGGCTTCGGGTTTAGGGTTTAGGCATCTCCCTGCATGCAAAGACTTTGAGACACATCCCTGTCCCCCCCCGGAAGCTGCAAGAACGCCAAACAACCTCCTCTCTCTCAAACCCTAGCGCCCTGAGCCTCAAAGCCGTTTACTAAGACCCAATAACCCTGTAACCCTGAACCTTTAGGGTTTAGGGTTTAGGGTTTAGGGTATATCCTTAAACCTGAACCTTAAACCTTATAAACCTGAAGGAAGCACACCCAAAAAAAAACCTACCAAGGCTTAGCGTAGGTGGACCTGCAAAGAGGGGAGGCGCTGCTTCTTCGACGTTTGTCCAAAAACATGCTGGGCGAACCCGCCTGACGATGTTTCGTGGATGATGTTCAGGATTAAGATTCAGAAGCCAAAACCTACCTTTTTTTAGTGACGGAGAAGAAATGAATCATTACACTAACCTGCAAACATGTAAGCTTTGGGCTTCTTAAGGTAGGGGATTGGGTTTAAGCTTTTCGGGTTAGTGGTCACGGTGACAATAATGTCTGCGGAAGTTGCACTAAGGATTTTCAAGCGGGTCGCGGCACGACCTGCTGCGGTTCTCGGCATCTGCGTGCGCTGCAGATTGACCGTCGCAGCACAAAGTGTTTTTTGGTTCTTGGCATCTGCATTGCATGCGCCCTTGGCACCTTTTGCGGAGTAATCCCACTGATGCCAGCAAAGCACAGTGCACACCTTCGTGGCGCTCCGAAAAAAAGAAGAAAGCATGATCGCTTGCGAAGATCTCGGCCCCTAAAACCTAAAACCCGAAACCCTAAACCCTAAACCGTCCTGGTGTGGGTTCAACCAAGGGTTTTGGGTTCAAGGTTCAGGGTTTCGGGGCCCTTAACGAACCTCGTGCCTTACGAAAGTGCCCGGATGTTGCACAGGCGCGGAAGATCATGTAAAGCCATGAAAGCTCCTCTTACAAGCTCGGTATAGCTGCTTCAGACCAAGGCCCTCTAAACCCTAACGCCTGCAAACCCCGAACCCCCCCCCTGTAAACCCTAAACCCTAAGCCTAAACCCTAAACCCTAAACCCTAAACCCCAAACCCCAAACCCCAAACCTCAAACCTCAACCCCAACCCTAAACCCTAAACCCTAAACCCTAAACTCCGAAGTCCGAGGCTCACCTTCTGGCTCACGGCCAAGATCACCAGCGGAATGATTTTCATCCTGGTGGCCCTTTGGGCCAGAAACGGATTGGGGGGGGGGGGGGGGGGTTTAGGGTTTGGGGTTTAGGGTTTAGGGTTTAGGGTTTGGGGTTTAGGGTTTAGGGTTTAGGGTTTAGGGTTGGGGTTAAGGTTTAGGGTAGCTTGGCTGAAGAAAAAATTGGGTTTAGGGTTTAGGGAAAAAGGGCCCGGGTTTTGCGTGGGGGTAGTTGAGGAGTTGAAGTTAGATCAAGCGCCAACATCAGGGAGTAGGGCAGGTACACGTGATGTCGAGGGTGGTTGGAGCGTTAAGTGCAACTAAGGTGAACCACTACCTTGCCATTTTCTTCATGGCCATCGGCCTGCAAGGTGCCTCAGTCGCGAAGTGGTTTGGGGTCTTCGGCCAGATTTGCATGTCTCTGAGGCATCCTTGCAGGGAGGTTCAGGGTTTGGCGTTTTCGCAGAATCTCTAGTGCCGATGTAGTGCGATATGACTTATGGGTTATCTGCTCTGCACCACAAACCCTGACCGGTTGAATCCAGTAAGATCCTCTAGTGCTGTGGCTAAGTGGGTGTTTTTTTTGTGAGGCAAGGTGGATGGCAGGCGAAACTGGCTGGTCGAGTACGACGTGCAGGAGTGACCAAGAGAGGGTGGGGGAGGGGTACTGTAGCCTCCGCCTCGATAGGTTGTCGAGAAGGGACGCCTGTGCAGTTCACGTGTTCGCAAAGTCGTTTACTACATCGGGTTGTAAAAGCATACTCCGGTCTTGACACCCCCACGCCCGAAGCCTTACCCTGTGCGTAGGACACGAACTTCTGGGACGTCTACGCCTCTTGGAATGTCATGGACGTCGGCGAGCATAAATCAAGTAGCACCACTCAACACCCGTCACTCAAGCATTCAGCACATGATTGGGGATGTGCGCTGCGCTATACACGGCCAAGGGCTTGGAATTCATCCTGAGTGAAGGCATGTTCCTGAATGAAGGGGTATGCGGCCCGTTTGGGAAGGATTTGGGCCAACGGGGGGGCCTGACCTCGATGAGGCCATTTCCTTACATTGGAGCCTCACGCAGTTTACACCGGCCACCAACAACATCGGTGCGACCAACTCGATTGAAAGACTGCGCCTCGGCTTGGCTTGAGGGGAAGGCGCGGAGGTTTAAGCTTACGTAGGGCTGCACATTGGGAGTTTTGTACGTCCACTGGCAAATGCCGAAGAGTGCTTCAGATGTGTCAGAAAGCAGGCCAGAGCAGGGTGCCCCATGTCATCACGGCCCTCAGCAGACCCTCAAACCCATCCCCGCATCTTCGCAGAGGGTCTCCGAGACCGACCTGTAGCCCTAAACCCTAAACCCTAAACCCTAAACCCTAAACCCTAAACCCTAAACCCTAAACCCTAAACCCTAACCCCACAAAACTGCAGGTCATCGGGGTTACAGGGTAAGGCCCAGAAACTTGGAGACCACAGGTTCGCCATCTGCGTGGTCCTGGTTGCCCTGGCGCTCTTCTCATCCTTCTTGAGCTCCATCACGAACGCAGCGGCTCGTCGAAGTCCAGGGCGTTGAGGGTTTGTATAGGGTTTAGGGTTTAGGGTTTAGGGTTTAGGGTTTAGGGTTTAGGGTTTAGGGTTTAGGGTTTAGGGTTTAGGGTTTGCTTGTGTCATCTTGCGTCATGTCCTGCACCTCCGGAGCTTCGGCAGTCCTGGGGTTCGAAATGGCTTTGGGCCTCCAGGAGTTGCCTCCTAAACCCTAAACCCTAAACCCTAAACCCTAAACCCTAAACCCTAAACCCTAAACCCTAGGTAGGATAGGGGGAACCCTTAAGAGGGAACCCTTCTTAACCCTCTTCTGGCTCTCGTCAGCAGGGACCTGTCTATGTCCCCAAAAGTCCCCCCCTTAATCCTATCCCCTACTCGACGGTTGTAAACCCAGCCAGTGCCAGCTCAACCAGACTAGCTAGGCCCTTGGGATGGCCAAAAGTTTCCCATTTTTGGGGTGTGAGAGGATCATATTCAGGAATATTTCTTCAGAGGGTTCTACAGGAGCCATCCTAGAAAACCAGAAGCAAAGACCCCCCCCCCCACCTCCTCGGATGTCATCCCAAAGGTCACGGCGCTGAGGGCTGTGCGCTTGGACTACGCCTCTCAAGAGGCAGCGGGCATCAAGGGCATCGACGAAAATGAGGGGGACCCCCCTATTTTTGAAGCCCCAAAAAGTACAGGATTCCCGAATCAGCAGGGGCCCCAATAAGGTACCCCAATAATCCCTAATCCCTAAACCCTAAACCCTAAACCCTAATGTCGGAAACCCCCACACATGTGCTCCAGGATTCGGGCCAAGCCCTCTACGGTGCACTGCATCCTGAAGTTCAGGGTGTCAGTGTCCGTGGTCAAAAGGGGTTTAGGGTCTGGGGTTGAGTGTTTAGGGTTTAGGTTTAGGGTTTAGGGTTTAGGGTTTAGGGTTTAGGGTTTAGGGTTTAGGGTTTAGGGTTTAGGATTAGGGTTTAGGGTCTAGCGGTCAAAAGGGTTGCAAAACAGTCTGACAGGGTTCAAAGGGGTCTAGGAAACAAATCTCGGGGGTGGGGGTTTTCCAGACCTGCCCCAAGCTTACTGTTGGCTTGCAGGGAACGAGGGAATTAGGGCCCTATGTATGCCCTTTAACGGATTACATAGGGCACCCATTCACCCATTCCCTACTAACCAACAGTAGGGTTTAGGGTTTAGGGATTAGGGTTTAGGGTTTAGGGTTTAGGGTTTAGGGTTTGAGCAAGGCCCAGATTCGCCAGTTCTTCAACGAGCGAAATCTTCCGGCGTCCCTGCTGGCCCAAGTCAAGGTGCCTTGGTTCGAAACCCACAAGGCCAAAATGTTTGGGGAGTTTAGTAGAGTTTAGGGTTTAGGGATTAGGGTTTAGGGTTTAGGGTTTAGGGTTTAGGGTGGCCCCCGAAGCCCCCTCCAGGCGTTCATGCGGCTTCGCAGCAGCGCGATCCGCCGCGTGCTGGAGCAAGACGTCAAACTGCTGGCTGAGCTGCCAGACGCCTTGAAGAAAAAGCCACTTGGGAGTCTACGAGAATAAGGGGCCCCTTAATATGGGCACCCCCAAACAGTAGGATCCTCTCATAGTAAGGGCCCAATAGTAGGGTACCCCTTATTGAAGAAAAAGCCACTTGGATCCATCCCCAGAACTTAGGGCTACTTGGGAATGGATTTTAATTTGTGCTGTACTCTAATTCCCAAGAAACAGCAGACATGTAATTCTAGCCAGGGTTCCAAGTTCAAATATGGGAATCTCACGCTTCAACAGCTTTTGGGATATTTTGAGCCTGAGGGTCTAGTAGTCCTTGTAGATTCCCTACGCTACCAGGACCTATTCCCAACCAAGCCTCCAGAAATCCCTTGACAATGGAAAGCCAAATGTAGGGTTCCCCGAAACCCTAAACCCTAAACCCTAATCCCTATACAGGCCTTACCTGAACTAAGATGCTCCAGTTTGCCCAAACGTCCACATCCGTCCACATCCCCGAGCCCCCAGCTTCCAAAATCTCAAGCAGGAGGTTTAGGGTTTAGGGTTTACGGTTTAGGGTTTACGGTTTAGGGTTTAGGGTTTAGGGTGTAGGGTTTAGGGTTTAGGGTTTGGTAGGAGGTTTTCAGGGTTCGGGCTTGGGGACTTCGAGAGTGAGAGAGACAGGAAGGTAAAGGTTTGAGGGTTCAGAACTCGGAACTTGGGGCAAAGAAGGCGATTGTTTAGGGTTTAGGGTTTAGTGTTTAGGGTTTAAAAGGTTTGTAAGGTTTAGGGTTTAGGGTTTAGGGTTTAGGGTTTAGGGTTTAGGGTTTAGGGTTTAGGGTGAGCCTGCAAACCGACTCTGAGGCTCCACGTGGAGATGTACCTGTCCCCGATCTCGGCCATACCCTGGTGGCCTGTGGCTCGCTGGAGCTGTGGGTTTCAAGGGTTTAGGGTTTAGGGTTTGGGGTTAGGGTTTAGGGTTTAGGGTTTGGGGTTTAGGGTTTAGGGTTTCAAGGGCCTGGAGATCTCCGGAGCCTCCGTCAGATACCATCAAGTCACCTGTGCCCGAACCCAAGACTGATCTAACCCTAAACCCTAAACCCTAAACCCCAAACCCCAAACCCGAAACCCGAAACCCAAGACTGGGGTTCTGGTTACAGTAGGTCATTTTGTGGTGCAGGACATAGCTGGTTTAAGTACCTCTTATTGGCAACTTGCATGAGAGTTCCTCAACAGAACCCTGAAGAATACCCGAACACCCTGCTCTCCAGGGATGTCAGCACTTTTAGGGTTTAGGGTTCAGGGTTCGACTTGCTTTCCTTTGTGAGTGTGTTAAGGCCTTCAAGCGGCTAGGCGGAAGCCGTCATAAACAGGATCGGAGATAGGCGTGGTCGAAGTATTTTGCCGATGGGTTGGGCCTTGAATGTGGCTGCCTCAGAGTGAGCGTGCAAACCTCCAGATCACCCTAATCCCTATACGTACCCTAAGCCCCAAACCCTAAGCCCCAAACCCTGAGCCCTAAACTTTGCAAAGACCGGCCTGGGGGTGAACAAATTGTTTTTTCAGGCCTTGCGACCCTCGACCTTGATGTTGGGGGTGTGTGCACGTGCGGTTGGAGTCCTCAACAAACCGTAAAGCAGAAGCTGGACCGCTGCTCTTGCTGATGAGGTCTTTCTCCAAAATTCGCCTGCCCTTCTGCAGCAGCTTCAGCAGTTCTATGGAGCATGCTTGAGAGGATGGTGTGGGTGTCGTGGGTTTGGCCAAGCAAAACGGAAGCGCGGGAAGAATAGTAAACCCTAAACCCTAAACCAGTATTCGCTCTTCGGAGATGGTGCTGCAGAAACCCTAAGCCCTTAACCCTTAACCCTTAACCCTTAACCCCTAAGCCCTTAAACCCTTAAACCCTAAACCTAAACCTGAGACCTTGGTGTCGGAGCCCAGGAGTTCTTGGAGAAGTTGTGCCATGCAGCTGTCCAGGAACGGATCGCTCGACCAGGGATTGACATCTTTGTTCCTTGGAGGGTTGGTGAAGCAGTTTCGTAGTAGTGGAGTAAGTAGCCTTTAACCTTTCTTGGGGTAGTAGAATCCCCGAAAAATCCCAAAGGTTTAATTCCCCTAAGTTACTGGAAGACGAAGGTTTCGGGGTCTTACCACTCTTGCAAAACTGTACACAAGTATGGTCTCTTGCGAGTACGAGCACATGTGAGATGGGAGGGGGGGGGCTCAGCGTAGTAGGTTGTCGAGTTGATGACCAAGATACGTAGCCCCATACACCCACATCTGGACAGAGAGCCTTCCAAACTTTCAATGGCACCTTCCACTGTCGGTAACACGTCATCTCAAGTGCTGCACCACAAGATCCGACTTTCCCATACGCGATTCCAAAGACAAGGTGCCTGATGGCGCCAGCCTCTTGGCATCCCTTTCGGGTCCCTGAACGAAAGCTGGGGTTTAGGGTTTAAGGTTCAAAGGGAGCATTGCACAGAAGCTCTATAACGCGGTTGACAGGGTTTACTTACTGTAGGGTCTGGGGATGTTGCGCGTGCAAGGCAAACTGTTGGATGGATCGTCCCGCCCTGAAATGCTCCTGACCTCGTATTACGCAAGAAGACGCTATGCCCTCGATATCCCTCGATGTGGGCGGTTCGACGTTCTGTGTTGTTGCAACGCATGGTAGCGTCCGTTAAAGTTCCTGGCGCTTCATGATTGGTAAGAATGCATGTGGAACATGTCAACGCAGCGCCTGAGCCTCAGCTGTGGGTGGTACACTTGCAGCGACTGGCCCAAACCCCATAACAATTTCAAAGCCCTAAACCCCAAACCCCCAATAGAATCAGCCCCAGGTGAAGGTGCCATCATCTCCACCGCGGAAGGCTTCCTTGTTGCCATCCAAAGACCAATGTGGAGGTTGTTCTGGAGAAAGCAAGTCCCGGGTCGCGCAATACTTACCTTGGATAGAGGGTTGTGTGGGCAACATAACTGCAAACTATGAAGGATATTGGCTGCAATTGTGCTGGAACAAGTTGCAGGCATGGTCTACACGCGCAGGGAGCTCTTCCTACGCTACAGGCAGCCTTTGGGCAACACTGGAGTGGCAGCTTGGCAGCCCGCTCGTTTCATGAAAAGCGCCCGAACGGGCAGGGATATGCTGCTGTTTAGGCTAGACTGCCTACGCTGGAGAGCTTAAAGTGCTGCACCCCTAGATTGTATTTCCTACTATTCGTTGTCGCTTTTCTTTCCGTGGGGATGATGCTTCTTGCCTGGGTCGGTGGGCGTCCAAGAAATCGCAGCACACCCGCGCGCTCGTTGGTGTGAGAGTGCCGCACATTCTACGGATCGGCATGGCAGAGAGACTAAGATGATCAAAAGCCTGCCTTTGCCATGTCCCCTCAGGTTCCGATCAGAGTCTTGGCCTGCATTCTTAGCCTGGCGAAAAGCCATGCAGTTTAGGGTTTAGGATTTAGGGTCGCCATACAAGTTCCACGTCGAAGATCAGGCTCAGGTACATGAACGAATGTCACAGCAACCATGAGCCTGGGCAGTAAAGACCATGCTCAACACCTGGGTTGCGGAAGATGCTCGCATAAAAGTTGTTCCGAAGCCATAATTCTAGCAGGGCCTACACCACGGCTCCCTTACTACTTTCGTTCTAGTCGTTGCCTGCCGCGGCCCCAAGTGGTGCCTCCCCATACCCTGAACCCTTGCACGCCCAGCTTGAACTAGCCGAGAGCCGCTTTGGTGCCTCCAGGTCCGGGAATGAGACTTGCGGAAGTCGGCACCCTGTCTGACTTGGATGAGGCGTTCTGGCATGTTTGCACTGATATATAACCCTCAACCCTAAACCCCCAAGACCCAAACAAACCCCAAACCCTAAACCCTAAGCCCTAAACCCTAAACCCACTTTGGGGTTCATCGATTGTGGCTCTGAGATGAAGTTGGGTCCATGCCGCCACTTCTCTTGGACACGCTCGCGTACCCTGAGGCAGCTAGGCAGGTGGCCAAAAATGCAAAGACGAAACCCTAAACCCTAAACCCTAAACCCTAAACCCTAAACCCTAAACCCTAAACCCTAAACCCTAAACCCTAGATCGATCTCAGGTCTCTGGGCTGTTTGGAAGTATCGGGGTCACCTCACAGCTGAAACAACCTGCAGCTCAGACGGCACGAAGTTTCTTCAGGCAAAGGCCCCATGTGGGTATTTCCCAAAATAGGGATTAGGGATCAGGGTACCGGTGCCCCCTATTTTCGGCCTAAACCCTAAGTCCTAAACCCTAAACCCTAAACCCTAAACCCTAAACCCCCACATCTCTCATGTAGCTCCTATGGCTCCTATGGCTTTAACTTCCGCATCGAACTCGGGGGCGGATGAGGAGGATCTGTTCATACAGGGCCTAAGAAGCCTTTGGCGAAGTGCGTCCCTGCCAGGATGCAGATTGCGGGCTCCAGGGTCTGCCTGGGGTTTGTAGGACGTTAGGGTGTTGGAGTTTAGGGTTTAGGGTTTAGGGTTTAGGGTTTAGGGTTTAGGGTTTAGGGTTTAGGGTTTAGGGTTTAGGGTTTAGGGTTGTTGGTTAGTTTTTTCTAAGCAACCTGGTAGGGTCTGCATGTCTTATAGGGCTTGTAGGTAGGCTTCAGGCTCAGGCTCTCAAGCGGGATCCTGCCTTTAGGGTTCAGTCTATACCCTAAACCCCTAAACCCCAAACTCCTAAACCCTAAACCTAAACCCTAAACCCTAAATCTAAACCCAAACCCTAAACCCGAAACCCGAAACCCTAAAGGCTTCAGAGGGGTCTAGTGGCCCACTGAGACCTGACAAGCGTGCATTGAAGGCCCGTACATCTTTGTGGACACGACGGAGTTCGGCAACACCTGCCAGCAGCATGGAGGCCGCCACGTCTAATAAGGTTTAGGGTTTAGGGTTTTAGGGTTTTAGGGTTTGGGGTTTGGGGTCTAGGGTTTAAATGTACTCCTAGTGTGCCCCCTCCCCCCCCTCCCCGTACATTCCCTTAGATCTTTGAGAAGGGGTCCTCAAACACAGAGATGCAACCTTTAGGGTGTCAAGACGAGTCCCTTGA